AACCTGATGAGTTAGTTCAACTCAAACCGTTTGAGGAAACCGATGCAGTTTAAATGTATTAACACCAACAATTTAAGCATGGAGGAGAGGATAGGAGTGAGAAAAAATATTTGATTTGAGTACAAGTAACTCATTTACTGTTAAAGGTAAATTAAGTTACTCAAAACTAGTCAGTATATTACACTCATATGCAGCATTAACCACACTTGGAGGCATAAAATGTGTGAATTTATCTGAATAAAGTAAAAAAAATGTAAAATTTTACCACTTAAATTGAATTTACTCAGTTTTCTTCCGCTAAAACAAATTATTACACAACCTGTCAAAACAGCTGACGTATGATTGAAAAACAAAAAGACAATTTACAATTAATCAACTATCAAAATGGTAGCCGATTTTGGGGCTTACATTTGTGTAATGATATGAAGTCAGCTTAAAGAAAATTAGTCAACGGAAGGATCACAAATACTTAAAATACTGCACAAGTTACTACTTCAACAGTTCATTGGGGTTAACTTTTCTGGAGGATAACGTTATGTTTACTTCTTTTATTAAGATATTATAGTGCAATATTGTGCAAACGTGACAAGCTGCGCATTGTTGGGAAGCATTATGTGGAGATATTTATTCAAAGGTAATCTGACTGGTTATACCTTTCATTCTGTTATAGACAAAAGCTGCTAAATGCTACCCTATGTTCACTGTACAGTCTGTACCAGTGTCTTCCTGCTGTTTGGTGCTGGACAGGTAGATACAGTAAAAACAGCTGCCGGCTGCCGCCATAAACAATGCTGATCAAAAACAGTAAAGCAAAGTTTCTGGCCGTAAAAACCAAAACAATGAGCTGAACTATAAAGCTCGGAGGAGAGCTGAAGAATGGGGTGATAATTCACCGTGGGTTCGTAACACCTTTCACACAAGTAGTCATTTGACCCATTGTTCGTATAAAAACATTCATTATAGCTGCTTTAAGACGCTTTCTTCTCTCTCTTTCTTTCAGAGCCTCAGAAGCTCACTGGAAAAATTCTCACATGCACCCACAAATAAACACATGTAGACCTTTGGGCTCTCAGAATCTGTGGTGGGTGTTTTTCACTATTTCTTTATGTCCTTATGTTGATTTAAATATATAAAATATCTTAATTTAAGCCCCACAAGATGCTGTGAACTACTGTGTGCACTCTGCTCCACCAGGAACGTGGTTTGTTCACCTGTCTATGTAGTTTGATATTCCTGCAGCAGCTAATTAAAGGTGCTGCCATTTTGCTCTGTAGAGCAGTTACACACCCACCCACCCACACACACACACACACACACACACACACACACACAGACACACACCCACATCACACACACACACACACACACACACAGTTGACAGGTTGTCAGCAGCACTCAGCAGGACATTTCTAATGGCAGTTTGTTATTATAAGTGTCACTGCTGACGTATGCAGAGGTGGAAGAAGTACTCAAAGCTTCTACTTAAGTAGAAGCAGCAGTAGCACACTGTACACATATTCTGTTACAAGTTAAAGTCCTGCATTTAATATTTGACACAAAAGTATTGGCGTCAAAATAGACTTAAAGTACTAAAAGCAAAAGTCTTTATTTAGGAGAAAAGCACATTTAAGAATAATGTTTATTATATTATTGGATTTGAATTATTGTTGCATTAATGCGTTCATCACTTTAATGTTGCTGCTGGTAAAAGTGGGACTAATTTTAATTATTTATACATGTTTCCTATATATTACTTTATATTCTGTTTGGATACTAATATCCTTAATTTCCTTTATTGATTATATTTTGCATTATTAATCTGAATCTGGATACTAAAGCTTTCAAATAAATGCAGTGGAGTAAAGATATTTCCCTCTGAATTGTAGTGGAGCGGAAATTTAATTTTGTGTTGATTGTGGCGGCCCCTATGGACAAAAGCGGTAGTGTTTCTACCTCCTTGTTTCATTGATTTCAAGGGGAATCCAACCCAGAGGCAGGTAACTATATCCAATCTTCTCTCTGATGGTCTTGTTTGTTTATGTAGCTCATATAGAGGCATCACTATTAACTTACTGTTTCATAAACCAGTTGAAAACTCCTCGTAGTACGTTTAAATACTGTATTTGTATTTACGTAAATGTACTAAAAGTGTAGAAAACGTGTGTGAACAGGAGTTTGGATGGGAAAGAGATCAAGTTGGAGGAACAACACTGCTCACACACACACTCTCTCTCTCTCTCTCTCTCACACACACACACACACAAACTAAAAAGGGACAAAAAAAGACAGGAACACAACATGAATGTCCTGTTCGAGTCCTTCCAAGATTACACACAAACACACACACACACTTCCCCTGTCTTCCCAGCCCCTGTTTCAGCCCAGGTCAAAGGGAGTACATTCCTGGAGAATAACATGGAGACATGGAAACTGGGGGGTCTGAATACCTGACGGGGGGGAAACTGTGTCCCTGAACGTGGCGCTTTGATCTGTTAATATAAGTCACATTGTGGGTGAAGCCATCGAGGCAACACGTTGTTATGAGTTGTAAATATGAAGCAAGTAGTGTCTGAACTTCTCTGAGAGAAACATAAATTATGATTTGGTTCCAGCCTCTCGAAGCTGATTATCTGATGCTTTTATCAGTTTGTTTACAACTTAAAGTAACAGTTTGGCTTCTATATCGACATCGTATGCTATTAGTCATTGTTTTATTTATATATATTTATATATATACACTCATATTTTCCACCTACTACATAATAGTTCCATGTCCATTTTTAAACATATAATAACTTTATTCAGCTTTGTTGTCCTTGTTTCCATCTGTATGTCTATTTATATCTTTCCTGTAAATTGTTCTGTGTGAGCAGCTTACAAAACAAATCTCTTTTGTTTGTGTGTGTTCACAATAAAGCTGATTCTGATCCTTTAAATCTCTTTATCGTGAGTAACTTTTTGAGGTTTTGGACCGCTCGTTTAGGCATTTATGAGCATTTTCACACATTGATTAATCGACTAATAGAGAAAACAATCAGCTAGAGTAGTTAAATGTGTGCAAACTAAATAAATGTGATAGATGTGAGCTACCTACTGCTATAAGACTTTACTCACAAGTTATTCAAATTAAACCCCTCTATTACCAGCTGCAACATTAAAGTGATGCATCAACAATAATAAACTAACAATATCTTATATAGGATATCCTGAAATGTGCTTTAATGAGTACTTTTACTGTTTTTGATGCTACTTTTGGACTTTTACGCAGGAGTTTTACTAGAGTATTTCTGCAGTGTGGTATTGCTATGTTAAGGTTTGAGCACTTCTTCCACCTCTGGAGCTGTTTGTGTGCAAACTGTCACACTGTTAGAAGTTGTGCAGACGACCTTTCTTTCTTTCTTTCTTTCTTTCCTTTCCTTTCCTTTCCTTTCCTTTCCTTTCTTTCCTCTTCCTCAGCCTCCTGCAGGTCGCTCTGCCGCACAGATCCGCCGAAAAACAGCAGCGGATTTTGTGCCATTTTTTGTGGAGGAGGGAAAAAAAAGAAACCACCACCACTAAATAAAACATCCACCAAGTGTTTCCAGTACAGCCTTACCTTCTCTTTCCTGGTTCTTTGCTTTTCCATCCTGCTCTCTCTCTCTCTCTCACTCTGCTAAATCCGGCAGCTCCAAACTTTCATCCCCCAGCAGCAGCAGCAGCAGCAGCAGTGAGGCAGGACGGGAAAACACACCATCCAAATACAATAAAAACCCCCAGATCAGATCCACACTAACCCCCCAACACCCGCTGTCCCTACTGCGCCTTCACTGATCGATCAGATGGGGAGAGCGGTGTGAAAGGCAGCGACCCTGCTGAAAGTAGTTCCTGGGGAAAGTTAATCCAGAGTGAGTGCGCCATGTTTCCCACAGCCGATCTTCTCCTCATAGCGGAATTTCTGTCCGGTGAGAGGCGGGGATCCGGTCGGCTCCATGGCTGCAGCCTTCAGCAAGGTTTCAATTACTTTTCATGACATCAGAGAGGAGTTGAGTTACCTGACAGATATTCATTACAGCACTGCTTCAGTGGGCTGCATAATAACAGGGAGGCTGGGTTTTTTTTTATTGTTGGAATAAATTAAAGACAAGTTTATTTGTGTGGGTTTTAACTTTTTATTGGGTTGCCAACAAAAGAAAAAAACCAAAAACAAACAAAACAATAAATAATTAAACACATGTAACATTTGGGGTCTAAACAGCAGGAAGCAAACATTGTAAATAAAAAGTTCAGCATTTTGGGGGAATCACATTTTCTCGAGTAGAAAGATTTTGTCTGTGAAATATGAAGCTATACAGTCAGGAGATGTAGCTTGTAATGATGTAATGATGTCATTTTTTAGGTTTCATGGAGGAATACTTGAGGAAGAGTCAGTTGGTTGCCTGGCAACCTCACAGGAAGTTAAGCATCACCTTCAGACCGCCTGTCCCTCACTGCTTCCAGTCTCTATGCTGGCTGCTGGCTCTCTTACAGAGGGTTGTGTGAGACGTTTGATACTGTAGCTGTTGTAGATATGAAGCTTAGCTTAGCATAAAGACTGTAAACAGGGGGGAACAGTTAGCCTAGCTCTGTTTGAAGGTAGCAGTAACTATCAGCGACTCTAAAGTTCGCACATTAAATCTCTTTGTTTACTGTGTTCAATGTGCAGCTATTGTAAATGTGAAGCTACAGTCAAAGTTTTATCCATTTGAGTCTATTTCTCCTTGCTGTTAGCTTCATATTCCACAGAGAGACGTCGAGGGCGGTGTCGATCTTCTCGTAAGCCCCAAAATGTCTTTCAACTTTTAAATTCAATCAGTCGTACGTTTTCATACATCAAATATTTCTCCATGTGCTTTATGTACAGATATTTATACATGATATATTCACAATCTATCTACAACTCCGACAACGGCACAGATATTTACAAACACACTGAAACCTCAATAACAGCGACTAAACACAAACACAAACTGATGAGAAGGTCATTAGTTTGCAGGTATTTGGTCATTAGCTTTTTCTTTTTTATTTAAAAACCAATCACTCTGATGATGCCTTCAGTGTCCCAGTATCCCAGTGAGCCAGCATGCATAATAGCAGGGCTCCTGAACTGACACACCTGAATGAAATGCAGTCGCCATTAAAGTTATTAGTTACACCCAAAGTCAAAACATCTGCCAGGAAAAAGGTTTGTTATATGTGAGGAATTTGTTTTTTATCCCGAAAAAAGTGGGTAAATTTGGTCCAAACTGAGTTCCACTACATCACACTGTGGACAATATGTATACATAATACTGTAATATTTAACCGGGAACCGTAGCATTCAGTATTAATAACTATAAATAAGATATATATATATATATATATATATATATATAGGTATTATAAGTAAATATTCATATAAATGCAAAAACATGGTATATAAACATGAAATTGTGATTCTTTCTTTTAGTTTATTTCAGGTAATTATTATTATTTTTCCATTCCAGCAGTTTTTATTTATTCTATTTGTAACATTTTTCCAAAGTCTGTTTTTTTAAGTTTTACATCTTGTAAATAAGAGTTTGCTCGTTCATCTATCAATACATTTAGTCAGATCAAATAAAAAATGATCAATCTGTTCCTCATAACTGTTTACTTGTGTGATGAAAAGTGACATAATGATGGAAAGAAGAATAAAAACAGACTTTTGAGTGCTGGAATTAATTGAAAATATCCTGAAATAAACTGAAACTGTCTGTATTTATTCATACGACTGTTTATTCCATGATGTCTTATCTATCTCACTAATATTGAACCCTTTGACTTTCCATAATATTCACATTTGGACAAGCTCTCTTCGTCTAACAGCCGTCTGTTGTCCGTCTTTACCCTGTTTCCTGGTCTTGTTGCGTCTGGGTCGGACCATCCTGAGACACAGTTTGTGAAGCCTGACAGCTCTGTCTTTTCTCTTCGCTCTCCTGGCGTTTGGCCTCCTGACCTTCAGTTGCATTGCCTGTAGATGGCGCTGCTCCTCCACGTCTGCACCGCTCCTCTGGTCCAGCTGAGGAAGCTCCGCTTTCACCAGAACTGCTGTACAGCTGTTCAGCAGAGAAGAAGCAAAGGTGGTTTTGTGATGTTATAATTAACCATTTACTGTATTCAAGTACAATTTTAATGCATTTGTACGTAACTTAACAACATTTGCATATTTATAGACAAAGTTTTTAATGAGGTAGAAGGAGTAGATGAGTTTTTAAGGATTTTTTAAAACATTGTTGTTTAAAGTATATGTCGTAATACATGTGGGAGTAGGGATGGGACTCAATACTATTATTGATTCTGCCTATTGATCCGATTCTTTGTCCGATTCCCTTTCTGTGTCAAAGAGAGTAGGCCTACTCTGTTTTATTTCTTCCTCTCTGCCATGACAATGACTATGAGATTGACATTGTTTTGTAATGTGCAGAAAAACCTGCTGGAACCAGTTCTTAATTCCCATTCTCTGTCTGGAGGAGACGTTTAAGTCAAGAATCTTAGTACTTCTCTACAGCATGATCATATTATATTTGAATTATCTGGCATTATGAGACGAACGCCATCATTTGTATCTTGTACCCCGCTCTCCCTTAAATACCGTCACATTCTGTAATCTACAGCATTTCTTTAATTAATAAAACTTCCATCTAAAGCAACATGTTACTGTCTAAGAGAACCATGTCTGTTAGATTGTAATGTGCATGTAATAATGGAATTATACATAGCTTTCCTTTGTTTTGATATCAACCATCGGTCAAGATGTTTTAGGCCGTGTGTGTGTGTCTGTGTGTGTAAACTTACATTTTGCCTGCTGTGCAGTCCTGTGGCAGGAAGCAGGATTGAGACACATGTCCGAGCAGAAGAGCCTGTACTTCAGTCAGTTGTCTCTGTGTAGCCAAAGTCTTGAATAACCTAGAAGGACAGACAAACACGTCAGAGACCAACAGACATGCCAGGAAAAACAAAACAATAAAACAAATAAAGGAGATTAAAAGACCAGCAAAGCAAAAAGAAACCAGACAGAGAGAACGTGTGTGCAAACATGAGATTATGATAACGTCCAAGGCCGTAACTTCATTTCTGTGCAGAGCCAGAGAACCGTTAGGTCTTATGTAACGGTGTGACTGAATGTATGCCTACACTGCTTGTGGCCTACTTTTGTGTTATGAAACATCCCACTACGTCTGCCTCGTCTTACTGGCTACACTCAGAAATGAAGGTGAGTGCACTGTTATCACAATGTCTGTATATGCTCTGCAAATAGCACTGTCAATATTTACTGTGTGGGGTTAAGTGAATTAGTGTAATCAAGACACAGTGTGAGACGTCCCCACTTCATTACTTATCCTGATCAGGTGCACCAGCCAATAAAATGGCAAAATATGTATCAAAATTCAAACAAAAAAAGCTAAATTCTCTGTATATAATTGGAGTTTATTGGCTTGGTTTTGTTAATTTACCTGGTGGTACAGTTGCAGTGGTACAGCGTCGTGGCCTCCGGGTTGTGGAGGCCGTATCTCCTCTGCTGGGGAAGGATCTTGTTCCTGCATGCGTCAAGATCTTTGTAGACAGCACATGACAGCTGCTCGTCTGTGGAGGAGAAGCATCAGTGTAAGTGTACATTGCAAATGGTAAATGAGTCTTATTTTTTGTCTAAAAGGAAAAATAATCTTGTCAAGCATGTTTTGCATTAGAAAACTAACATGGTTTTGAGAAAATATATCTAACTTTGTCCTAATGAGATATTACAGCTAATATTGAGCTGGATTTAACCAATAATAATGATGATTTGCATAATATCCCAGCAGAGGAATACGATTATTTTCATTATTTTCAGAGCAAGAGCACTCGCAAAACTTCTGAGTTTAAGAGAAAGTTGTCTCGTCCCAGTGTTGGAAATGAAGCAGCTGTTTAATCTGTCATTGTTTTAATAAAAAATGCTAACAATAAGACTGTTTCTGCTGGATTCATTTAAGAAAATTATTATCTAACTTATTTTTATTATGCTGTTTGAAGAAATTGTGTCTTACTCTAAGATTGCTTTTGCTAATTGTTATCATTAGATTAAGTGACCAAAATACTTACTTAAATAATTGAGTTCTCTTGTTTGTAAAAAGCACAACTTGCTCATATTTTTGGGGGTTTTTTTTCTAGTTTTAAGACCTTTACAGTGTGTCAGTAGCTAGATTTTTTACGCTAATTTTAAGAATTCTACCCAAGCAAAACTGTCTAATCCCACTGGCACATTTTTTTGCTCAATACAATAAATAATTATTATATTTAAGAATATTTGGCTGGGCTGTTTTTGCTGTGTATGTGTAGAAACATAAACTGATATGTGCACAATTTCTAATACCTGTGATATCAGCATCCAGCTGAGGCAGAGTCTGGTTTTTGGTGGGTAAAGTGTTCTCCAGACGGTCTCCGCTCTCAGGTGCCGTACCTGTAGGTCCCTCTGATGTGCTGGAGACTGAGGAGGTGGTAACACTGCTAACAGGGGTGATGGAGGCTGAGGGTGTAGGGACTGTGGATGCTGCAGCAGTGATGGAGAAGAGCTGTGGCTGTGATGTGCTGCTCTCCAGTACCTCTGTGGGTACGGTTGTGTTTATGATGAAGCTGGTGCTGTTCATGCTGACCTCGGACTCGTACTGTGTGGGTGCATAGACCTCCGCATACAGAGCCATTTTAGTCTCTTTACACCTGAAAAAGCCACAATAGAGGTTGGAATTATTTTAATTAAAGTTTACCAAAGTTCGACATTTTAGAAAGTATTTGCTTTCTTGCCGATAGGTTAGATGAGGAGATCAATACCGCTCATGTCTGCCTGTTCACTATGAAGCTGCAGCTGCTCAGCTTAGCTTAGCATAAAGACTGGAGACAGAGGGAAACAGCTAGCATGGATCTGTCCCCTTCAGCACCTCTAAAGTTTGCTAATTAACACACAAGACATTTTTCATTTCATCTCAACTTTAAATAAGACTCAAAGTTAGCCACACTAGCAGCTTTGTGAGTGACCAGAATTATCATCCAAAGAACCTGGATGAAGCTGCATGGCCAAAAACCACTAGAGGTAAGTGAGAAAGTATGATTTTTATGTGCATTTGTACTCAAACTACAAACCTACATGCATAATAGTGTTAATATATATAAATGGAAACGTTACTTACATTCCAAACCAGTTCCTCTCTGCGCACTGGAGTCGGTGGGAGAACTCAAAGCAGTGCATCTTCAGCAGGTTAAAGAAGGTGTATCCCACGACATCAGCTATGCTGTCATTCGATTCCATCAGACAATTGCGAAACCTGTAACGTGCATAATTTTAGTTCCATAATTTAAAAAGGAAAACACAATGAATCAGCTGATAAGGTTAAAGGTAAAGGTATAAATCCCTACTTGTTGTCGCAGTCGCAGTGAGACATGGTAAAGATGTTGCTGTTGAAGACACCAAACTCTGACTGAAAGGACAGGATGGTGTGTTTGCACTGGTCGTGTTCACGGCAGCAGCTGTCTGTGTCCGCAAAAACTCCTGCGAGAGAGGAGGTGAGAGGAACAGAGTGACGATCAAATACAGGATTATTACCAAAACCTGATCGCATTTTCACTCCAGAATGATGAAATAACCACAAACAAGTTCCTGCATCTTGAGTCATTTACCAACAACATTTCAAAATGTTTTTCATTTCTGGGAACATGTGAGGCTCACAGTGACAACTGAAGTTAATTTACTGTACGAGTCAATGGGGAAAACTGTTTCATAATGTCTTCTGTGGTTCTGGAGGAGCTTTGTCAAGTGTTTGACCACTGGTGGCGCTATGGGTCAGTGTTTTAGTAAGTAAATCCTCATTTTGGATGCAGTTGATTCACGTTCCTGCCAATGGTTTCACGTTGATCTACAGGTTGCACCAGCACAGACAGGGAGGAAGACGGCTGCTAGCCAGTAAACATGCATGTAAACAATACAGGTTTCAAGAAAAATAGGCTTTGCCAATGTTGTATGAGGAAGGAAACTTTTTTTAGGTGTCGAGGATTCATGTGTGAAACACTGAACGTAAACAGAAAGTTTGGTTGTCTGTAAGAAAACTCTGCAGGGCACCTTTAAGGTCCAAGAACATACAAGGCACAATCTTTTGTTTGTCCAGTCAAGGTTACTCTAGAAACACAGCGGTTCAATATGGTTACACATAAATGTAAAAAGTTTGTTTATTCATAAGGAAACTTGTGGGGAAAAGTTGCATTGTGGGAAATGTAGGATACAGTGTTTTAGTCAAGTTTTGCTGCTTCTTCTGTTTCAATCTGTCTCTTGAAGTCACCTGAAATACTAAAGAGAGTTAAAAAGAATCCCTTTAAGTTTTTATAGCTCCAATGTTCCTTCAGCTGTCTTTCCCTTATGTGAGTTTTTGTTCATAAAGTGTGAACATATAATATAAACATTACAGCCTCTGATTATTATTATTATTATTATTATTATGTTTTTTGCATGATTTTGATGATTCTACAGAATATAGAATATTACATAGATAGACATAGATATGTTCCTATCCCTTTAGCTGCTGTGTCAGTGACCTGTGATTGAACATGAGTTGTGAGTGAACCATTCAAACAAAGAGGAGTTGTTATTAACATTTTACATTTTAAATATAAATCCCCAAATCACACATCAAAAGGTAAAAATATTCATTATTTCATGCAAAAAATCCTTTTAATCATCTCAGATTTTAGACAGAGAGAGAGAGCAATATGGAACCATCTTACCCAAATCTGCATATGATGGCGCCTTGTTGCCAGAGCCGCACCAGAGAGTCCCTGGTACAATGAAACCCCGCTTTACACGCTGATGGGCCCTGACCTCTGACCTTTCAGCTTGACCTTGCTGATTCTCAGTCGATGAACCGGCCGCGGTGAGCCCACCGACGCTCCTCGCCAGCTTCTTCCCTGTGCGCCCGTCGACCCCCGGATAGGCCATAGAGACGCACAGATCATCTGCCTCAAATATGGATTCCGGATCGAAATTCTCATCTGGATCTTTGGGAAACTCGTGCCCGCGCTCGCGGCACAGAGACAAATAGTTCTGGATCACCGCTGCGTCCTCGCTCCAAGCGCAGCTGAGCGGAGCGCGCTCCCCGGACCAAGAGCTGTGGTAGAACCGCAGAGATGGAGGAGCCTGCAGGGGGTCGCCCCGGAGAAAAAAGTAGTGCACTTGTCCGTTTCGCAAAACTTTGGTCCAGGTGCAGAAGAGCGAGGCTTCTGCAGGTGTCCATCTCAGGAGTGAGGATGTTAAAATGACAGCGATGAGATTAGCGATGTGCGTCATGGTGGCGCGTCGGGAACAGCGGCTGGATGAGAGAGGCTGCTTCCCCGTCAGTCTAAAACTAATTATTGCTTCAGTCACTGAGGAGTTTATGACAGACTGACAGACTTCAGGTTGGCTTTAAATGGGGAAGGGGGGGGAGGCGCGTCGCGTCGGGGGTTTGAAGGTGGATCCAAAATAAACGCAACATCCGAATCAGCCTGACTCATGTGACCTGTCAGAGTAGTTAAACATCAGTCTCTCTCTCTCTCTCTCTTTCTCACTCTCTCTCTCTCTTTCTCACTCTCTCTCTCACCCACATCAGTGACAGTGACCATGACATATTGATCAACACGCACACACTCACACGAGCCAAATAGCTTTATCAATCTGTAAATGTGACTAATACAGGGTATTGATAAGTGACAGTCAGAAATGTGACTAACTAATCGATTTCTATTGATTGATAAATGGGATGTGAGACAAATATCCTGCTACTTTCTCCCCCCATTTCGTTTTCAGTAGTTTATTCTCACTTTCTACCACCGATGATGGGATTTATTTTTATTTCAGGACCATGTGCCCTTCACATAGCCCTCAGTTCCCAATAAACAGTACAATGTAAATCCTAACAGCATATCTGAATAAAAGAAGTAAGTTAATTTAATCCTTCAAATGTTGAAGACACTCATTCCCATGACTTAAACCTAACTCAAAAAACAATATTTTAAGCTCATTTTCTTTAAATTGACTTTCTTTCATTGCAAAAATGCCCCAAAAGCGTCCAAAAGTAATTGGCTACCATTATGATAATTGATTAAGTAATGTAATAATTTTGCTTTAGTGGAAGAAAACTGAGTAAATTCAATTCTCAAACTGTTTGAGTTGAACTGACTGATCAGGTTTTACAGTGTAGCATTAAGTTCACATCAAAACTTTCACATGTTTGTGATCATGATGTAAACTATGAGAGGGAAAACTTTCATCGGGAGGTCAAATATTTTAGCTTGAAGGCTGATTGAGCTCACAGGTCACTATTTGCATCACTGCTACAGAACATATACACCAGATTTGATCCTCTGGTACTGAATGTTCTTATTATAGACAATTAATCACCTTTGTAAATTAATGTTTCTTCAGAGAGATGCTACTCCCCTAAAGGAAGACATCAGCTGTAATCATATTAATGATTAGCCTACTTTTATGACATGTTGCCTTCATTGACAGGAGGGGGGGGGGGGGTATGAGGAACTGTGAAGGTCACAAATCAAATTTGAAGCCAGGAGGATTTTGCCCTTTTTAGAGCGGAAGTCCACCACTTTTACATAATATACCCTTTTTTATTTCACACAAAAAAAGAACTGTTGAGTTGCATTGTGGGTAATGTAGGCATCAGGACTATGGGCAATTAAAAAGATGATGTCTCTGCTTCTGCTGCACTGATTTTTTGTGTTTTTTAAACGTCCTTTGTGAGTATAATGCCAAGGTAGTTGAGAACTAAGATGCATCTTAAATCAGTGCTTCCCGTCTGTTCTGGCTCACTTAAAATTAAACACTTGTCTACTTGTGACCCCTAACTGCAGGTTACAGCCTTAGTGAGGACATGAGTTGACATGAGTTCAACCAAAGAGTAATTTTTCCCTTTGAAGAAGTGGAATTATCCAGAAATTAACAAGGAAAAAAACTAAACAAATGCACATTATTTTGAGCAAAAGAAACACGTGTGTTTTTTAAAATGTAGGCCAACCACCTGCTTCTGATCAGTTAATATCACTTTACATCAAAGAATCTGTGAAGGAAATTGAGCACTGTTGTCTCAAAGTATAACTCCATGCAGATAGTAAGGTCAGTGAAGTATTGATGTCCGTTATATTTCTCACCTTTCCTTTGACCAAATTAGGTGCAGATATGAGTTTTACAGCCAGATCTCTAAGCTACTGCACATTTACTTGTTTGTTATGTCTGTTCTGCTGGCTGGTTGAGTCAGATCGGCTGTATTGATCGGTCCTTTCTATCAAATGTAAATATTTGGGTTCCTGTCAGGTCCTATCTTTTGATTTAATCTCAGATGGGACCTCACTACTGATGAGAAAAGCAGATTATGTCTTAGCTTAATTCAAGCACAGACCTTTCAGAGTGTAACAAGTCCATAAACTTTGACCTACTAGGCCTGAAGGCAAGTATTATCAGGAGAAGTCAAAGTTCACACAATTCTCCGCTGCGTGTCTGTCTGCGCTGATTGGTTCAAACCTCGCCTGATTCAGACAAAGTTTCTGCCATGTCACAGCACATATCAATCAGGAAGAGGAGCAAAGGAAGTGCCATGATTTGTTTATTTATTAGCCACGTGTATGCTACAACATGAGTTCAGACATGCATCAATATGGATACAGAGAGCAAAATGTTATTTAGCTGAAAACACTTGTGCAGATCTGATATATCTCTCTTTCTGGAACTGTTTGCATAATTTAATTTGTTCTTCATAATAAAACGTCATGCAGAAGCATTTTGGGGCCTTCTTCTCCAGAGGACCGACAGAGAGCTCGCACATGCACAGCTGAAGGTGACATAGTGACAGTGGCAATAAAGAGGCCGACATGTTATGTGTATCAAAAAGCAAAATGCATTTCACATCAACAACAACAAAAAAGAGCATTCACGTCATTTTAGTAACCAAACATCTGCAAGTGTCCCACTGAATATTCAACATATGCATGATGCACAGTAATTATGCACAAGAACACGAGTGAAATTAATGTTTTGGTGTTGCAACAGTCAAACAAACGTGGTCACGTAGATCAGCTGATGGCACGTTACATGATCTCACACGACAGGAGCACAGATCAACACGGGGAAAAGAGGTCGGAGACAGAAAACTGGGAATTCCCTCTGTTGGGTCTGAGCGTGGAGGCACACTTTGTCACAACATACTGTCTTAATGATGATGATAACAAGGGCTTTATCTTCTCCATAAAATATGATAATTACTCTATTCAATCATTACCGCTTGCCGTTTATGTATCATACGATGTAGTTTAAGATATGATAACAGTGAAAATGGCTAAATGAGCTTTATGGTTTTGTGTAGTAGTCACTCTTTATTACAAAGAGCGCCAAGGTCAACATCCATGTTGGTCACCTGAAAACTGTTGGAAACGTAGCTTGCACATTGCACTTTGGGACAAACTACAAAGCAAGAGGATAATATTCGTCTACCTGTGCTCACTGGAAGACAATATTCTACAGGGAGAACGACGGAGGAAGAAAAGAGACGAGCAGTAGACGTTTTTAATCCTCAAACTGGACAGTGTTGTCGTTTAACAGGACATGCCAGCGCTCGATCTTCTTGTCTTTGTTCTTGAGGCATTCGTACCAGTGCTTCAGACACTCTCCTTTAGCCTGGATGCCTAACTGACATCCTCCTGGAGGCAGAGAGAAAACAAAGTGTTAAAACTGAGCCTCGGCGTACGTGCTGGCAGCTCTGTGAGGCTGTATTTAGCCACAGTTGTGTTTTGAGCGAAAAACGTGTTATCACAACATGCTAACATGCTCACAATGCTAACTTGTTGTTTATTAAATATAGTGTAGTTAAAGATAACAACTCCCTCGCTTCACCCTTCTCTTCCAAGCACGAAGGAGAAACTACTGTAGAAACATGGCGGTTCTACATAGAAGGCGTCTAGATAAAAACGTCTCATTCTAAGGTAACAAAAACACAATGATTCTTATTTTCAGGTGATTATACACTAATAAAAACATATATATTATATATATATATATATATATATTCTATCTCTGCTAATAGATCCTCCTCAGTGTTACACACTGGACCTTTAAGATAAGATAATATCAGATATACTTTATTGTCCTCAAGGGGGAATAAGAATGAAACATTTTTGTCTGGATTAAAGTGGTGAACTGACCAACAGAACAACATTGCCATCTCGACTAATATGCTGATGTAAAGCAGGTATAATGAACAGATATGTTAACTATCTTAGTTTAGCATGTTAGCATGAGGCTGACAGGAATGTCATTAGTCCTATATTAAGTATTTAGTCATAAACCACTGACAAAAGATAAAGATAGACGACATGACAGCTCTCCAAAGGATAATCCAAAACATCTTGATCGCCCCCTGGTGGCTGACTGCAGTATAGGTCATAAAGCCTGCTGCCTCCATGTTAACATCCTGAGGGTGACACCAACGTCTGAACCAGATTTCATGGCAATCCATCCAACAGCTGATGAAACAATTCACTCAAAAGCACAATTGTGAACCTTTGTGGTTGCCCTAAAAGTCATTTGGCCTACATTGTCTGCTGGTGGCGCTAGAGGAAAAATTACGAAACCACTAAAAACCATTAGGATTCATCTTCTGGGCACCATCGATATTTGTACTTAAACTTCATGGGGGTCTATTTAGTAGTTGTTGGATGAGGAAACGCGATTGCAAGACAAGATCCACACTTACCAATGAAATCGTTGGATTTTCCCATGTCATAATCCCAGACTGAGATGTCAAGGGTTTTCTTGGCTAGCTCACCATGTTTTATTTCATAACCGAATTCCTGAAACACAGTGAAATGAAGTGAAAGAGAAGTGGGTGAGCAGCAGACGGCAGCAAGTTCAGTATGTCCAAACAGAAAGCAACGGTTTAGAAAGAACTGACCTCGTTAAACTCTGGATTGAGTGTCTTCTTTTTGATCTGTGTCTTGTTTTTAGCTTTCTTCCCCATATCTGGTTTCAGACATCTACGGCATAAAAACATGTGTAAGATTGTTGTTATTTGACTAAAACTTTTACAGTTTAAATTAAACGGTTCCAAATTTTGGGAAACTTATTCACTTTCCTGCTGAGAGATCAATTGCAAGTCCATTTAGTCTAGCTATGTATTTACAGTACAGACCACTGTGTCTGAGTCTGTGAAGTGAAGCCAGTGTGGAAGTGTGTTAAACCTGCATTCTTTCTAATGGCCAGCAGGGGGCAAAAAAAAGAAGTCTGATAGTATTGAGTTTAATGGAGAAATAAGTCGACTTCTCAGTTGATTTATTCCCTCAGTAAACAGTTTCCTGATGAGTTTCTGGTCTCAGTCTCTAGTTTCAGTCTTCTTCCATACAGCATGA